CCTAAGCCATTCCCTGCAGTGTTTTCACTTTCCACTGATGCCTGTGACCTGCTGGGTCTTTCCTAACATCTGCAGTATTTTATCTTTTGAGTTGAAATTGACCTGGATTAATGCCTAATGGGAGGTTAGATTGAGGGATTGACAAATCTGCTTTTATTTCTTTTTAAGAGAAGGCCAGGGAAAGACTTTCAGCCGAATGGATGGTTGAGGAGGTGATGCAGATCAGAGAGTCAACATTGTAATTCTGCAAGGGACCACCAATGAATGAATGAATGAATGTCTATTCTATGCTTACTTTCCCAACTGGGAAGCCAGAATTACCCTGTAATGGTTCTTTTAGATAAGAGATAAAGTGGTATTTTGAAAGGATAATCTATGCGAACATATATATGTGGGCTCTAGAATGAAGGAACTGCGTGGTTGAATGATCTCTACTTGTCATGACTTCACCTTGATAGCAGAGAGCAGTAAACTAATGTTAATTTGATTATTATTAATGTACCTCTCATGTGTATTAATCAACAGGACTTTTGTAATTTTTCCACTGGCCAAGAGGCAGACTTATGGTTGAAATGGATGAGACATTTGTCCTTGAATTAAATATTGCAAATTCGTGGGCTGTTTCCTTCCCAATGGAAATAAAAATAAATTCTTGGTCCACCGGGGCTTGTTGTAAGCAGGTTCAATTTTTGTGAAGGTGTTTATAAAGGGAGAGGTATTTAATGTCACTCCATTCATCCAGATTGCATTGAAGTCACACAGTACACCACATTCACCAATGTGCACTGTGTTAATAAGGATTAACTTCAGAACATTGTGAAAAAATGCTATGACAAATGAGTGAGAGAGTAGGGATGAGTGGTGAAGGGGTCACTGGATAAACAACCCAGCTTGTGTATAGTATTCTTTTTAGTAGGCACTGTATTAGTTAAGAATGAACATAGTGTCAATCTTAATTTAATTGTATCCCAGTCACTTCCGATCCAGTGGCCCTAGGTTTGAGCCTTAATCTATTGATTAATTGGACATAACGGGTAATTTTTAACTGTAGTGGAAATATATATCCTTACAATCAGTTACTTGTTAAACACTCCATCAAAGAGAGTTGCTGTTTTACATATTTTTCTTCTTGATCAATTTCTCATATCTTTGAAACCCCAACATTGTCAGTTTCGTAAGTGTTTTCACATTTGAACATTGTATTTTAAGTTGTGAGCTGAAAATCTCTCTGCTCTGTCTCACTCACAACAGGTTAAGAGATTTCTGCTCATATAACCCCTCGATATTGTTTTAATATAGACTCATCTCATCTTCAGATAAGTTCAGGCTATATCTCAAAGTATTTCATTAAACAGTGTTTATTAACAATAATTACATGATGATATAACAAAAGAATCTATGCTCTGAGTTGCTCCAGTTCCAACCTTCTAGCAGAGTCCCTATCATATGATTACCAAGCTCACAGATACAACACAACCTATTTCCAAGGCTCAATTGCATATTCATTAAACTATCTTCATAAACATATCCCCCAGAAATATTCCAGAATACTTCACATTCAATAATTTGAAGTGCATGGGACAAATTTCCATAAACATCATCCTGAGTACAGTAACTCGCCAGAAAGATCCATAGGGTGGATAATACCTTATTTTATTACCATTGTGGGAATCAGTTTTGCAGGGCAGCAGAACTGTTTCTCGTTCTTGTAATTTTTGCTAAAGAATGTATTCATGAATTTAATGCAAACGTCAAGCAGAGAAAAACTCCATTAAATGAAAAATCGTTAACCAAAGAAGACTAAGCACTTTAAAAAATGGGTATTATTCTGACAGTGTCATAAGAACATTATTCTGCTTCCAACTCATGACACAAGATCTTGAACCACTATTGACTTTGATTCTGTCCACCTATAATTCATTCATTAGCTATTCATAACTAAATTATTATTTCCTTGAAATTGAGCCTTTTTAAATTATTAATGAACTATATGTTTAATGCATTCACATCAAAGTCCTTTCAGTGGAAAGAACCCAATTATCTTAATTAGATTTGCTCCTCTGTTAAATAGCAAACAATTAAAAAATTTCACTCAAAACCTGTGTTCACACATTCCAGCTCGTTCCATATATGAATGCTTGTTACAATTGATTTCTGCTGCAAATAATGCATAGCTGGAAATAGACCCAATATTACTTTTCTTCTGACAAAATTCATCAGTTCTAGTCTTGTTCAAACAACATTTGGGTTATCAAGACAGTACCATCACTGACACAAATGCGATCCTTACAATCCTTCAAATTTCCATCCTTCTTACAATCAAAGCATTGCCATTGATGAATAAATTTGTGGTAACTCTGACTATCAAACAACACTGTTTTCAGTCCACATATGTGTCTGGCCATTTTACTGCACCTTAGCCAACCTGTGAGAACAGTTTTGTTGGATTGAACAGACACTTTGGTTGTAAATTATTTTTTAAAAGAACAGCAACATGTTTTAATGTACTCATATGCCAATGCTACACCACTGGGAAGTCCTCCAAAGGTGTTGGTTTATGAAGCTTTGAGTTCACCATATTATTTGAAAAACTGGAGCTAGGCTATGTTTTGATTGATTTACTACGTATCACTACAGTAAATCTTCCCTGTCATAGTACTTGAAGAGACAGGCAAAGAGAGAGATAGAGAGAGAGACTGATGTAATGTGTAGAAAATATCATTGAATTTCAATCTACTTAATGCAACCATAGTTGACATAAATACTGCACTAAGTACTGGAGTATGCTTTTGGTCAATACATTCTACATCTTAAGTATAATGGGCCTTTTCAGGAAGCTTGAGAAATCTTTTATGATTCTAACGTATTCTCATTACATGTGAATCATTGAGTCTGACCGATAGTTAACATCCATATTGGATGATTGCTTTTCCAATAAAAGCACTACAAGTTACATTATCTTCAAAACTCCACTCCCATATTTACAGTATACATAAATCTTGAGCCAGGCATGATTTAAATACTAAGTTGTATAGTAATAAATTCTGATCCATTCTGTATGCGGTGCCCGATGCTAAGAAAGCTCTATAACTGTACCAAAATGTTTAAGGCACTTGCTTCCACTGAAATTATTTCTTAGCCAAAACTACTGAACCTTGCTGATGCATATTTGTAAATGGTACAGCAATGGTAATGGTTGAAATGAAAAGTAAGTTCCCCTCCCAGCCACCCACCATCCTAACTCAGAGCTACATAGCTGTTCTTTCAGTGTCACTGAGTCAACATTGTGGAACTCTCTCCCTAACAGCACAGTCAACACGTACACCACATGGATTGCAGTGATCTGAGAAAGCATCTCACTAACATCTTCTCGAGGACAATTAGGGAGGGGCAATAAATGCTGGCCTAGTTGGTGATGTCCATGGCCCTTGAACAAATATTTTAAAAATGCCAACCGTTGATGTTACAGTCGTCACCATCATTATCCTTGCAAAAACAACATTTTTGACATCTGGAGATAGTAAGAACTGCAGATGCTGGAGTCAGAGACAACACAGTGTGAGCTGGAGGAAGACAGCAGGTCAGGCAGCATCAGAGGAGCAGGAAAGTTGACATCCTACGGAGTAAGGGGTTGGCCATGGGTACCCGCATGGGCCCAAACTGTGCCTGCCTCTTCGTAGGATACGTGGAACAGTCCCTTTTCTGCTGTTACATTAGCCCTGTCCCCCCACCTCGTCCTCAGCCACATTGATGACAGTATCGGTGCTGTCTCGTGCTCCCATGAGAAGCTTGAATCGGTCATCAACTTATCCCAACCTCAAATTCACCTCGACCGTCTCCGATATACCCCTCTCCTTCCCGGACCTCTCCGCCTCCATCTCTGGTAACCGCCTCGAAACTGACATCTACTTCAAGCCCACCGACTCCCACAGCTACCTGGACTACACTTCCTCTCACCCACCTTCCTGCAAGGATACAATCCCCTACTCCCAATTCCTCCGCCTCTGCTGCGTCTGCTCCCAAGATGGAGCATTCCACTCCCGAACATCCCAAATGTCCTTGTATTTCAAGGACTGCAACTTCCACCCTCCAGTGATCAAAAATGCCCTCAACCGCATCTCTTGCATTTCCTGTACTTATGCCCTCAAATCCCCTCCCACCAACAAAAATAAAGACAGAATCCCCCTTGTCCTCACATATCACTCCAAAAACATCCGCATCCAGTGTATCATTCTCCGCCACTTCTGCCACCTACAATCCGATCCCACAACCAAAGAAATATTTCCCTCCCCACCTCTGTCTTTCTTTAGTAAGGACCATTCGCTCCACAACTGTCTCGTCCGCTCCACATTCCCCACTAACCCCACCACGCCCGGCACCTTTCCCTGCAATCACAGGAAGTGCTACACCTGCCCCTACACCTCCCCCTCACCTCCATTCAAGGCCCGAAGCAAACCTTTCATATCAGACAGGAGTTCACCTGTACATCATCAACTTGATCTATTGTATCCACTGCTCCCGATGTGGTCTCGTCTACATCAGTGGGACCAAGCATAGACTCGGAGACCATTTCGTAGAGTATCTGCGCTCTGTATGTGACAAACAACACCTTCAGGTCACCAATCATTTTAACTCCCCTTCCCACTCCCTGGGTGACATTTCCATCCTGGGCCTCCTCCAGTGCCACAATGACGCCACCTGCAAACTGGAGGAGCAGCACCTCATATTCCACCTCAGGAGCCTACAGCCCGATGGCCTAAACATGGAATTCACCAGTTTTAAAATCTCTCCACACCCGTCCTCATCCCGTCAACAACCCTCCCTTTCGTCCCCACCTCCTTTACCTGACACAACCTGTCCATCTTCTCTCCCACCTATCCTGACCAATCCCCACCACTGTCTTTCTGTACTCACCTATCACCATCACACTTACCTTCCCCAGCCCCACCCCTCCTCTCTCTATTTATTTCGGAGCTTCCTTCCCCTCCCCATTTCTGAAGAAGAGTCCCGACCCGAAATGTCAACTTTCCTGTTCTTCTGATGCTGCCTGGCCTGGTGTGTTCCTCCAGCTCCACACTGTTGATTTTGTTATCTGCCTCACTATTACCATGCATTAAATTGCTGTATTTATAAGATGCCTTTGTGAATTAAACACTGGGCTCCTGGATACTACCGAAGATACATATTAGTGGCATTAAAAATAAGGTGAGTTTTATGTGTTTTTTTTGTGGAACATTTTCATTAATTGTGAGGAGACTTAAAGGATATTGTTTGCCAGGGTGTGTAAGTGGGAGATTGAAATATCTCCACAGAGGCCAGTATCCCGCAAACAATGTCATCCTTTATTTACATGTAGAGAGTCCTTGACACTGATCCAGCTCCCTCAGAGCCAGCTCTCAAAATGTCAGAGTATCTGACAGTCCTGTTCTTATCTGTCAGCGAGCGCTCTCTGCTTGGACCAGATTAACAGTCCCAATCAGGGAACTCACATTCAAGGGTTACAATCACTCCAGGAGTCAGAAAAAGAAATATTGAGGAATTAGCTAAGATATCAGAGGCTGCTATATCTTAGGGAAATTGATACCAGAATAAATAATTTCTTTCTGTACAGGATGGGAAAAGGGAAGCAAAATAGATTGTGGAAGCAATGGTAGGTAGGTTCAAGATGAAGTTAATTCATGTTAAGAACTTGCATTTCATATCTGAGTCTCTAAATGATCACTAAAGTTAGCTCAGTTGATTAAATACTAACATGTTTCTTAGTTGGTACTGTGTCTGCAAATGTAAAATAAACAGAACTTTTCCAAATTAGATAAGAATAAAACACCACAGCTCACATCACTATCCAGAATTGATATAGGTATTTTCTTTTTTGCCTGTACTCTTAGGATGATCTAAAGGATCCCATGGTGTAGTTGAGAGGTCGGTAGATTTCTCTCCAGTTTATTTGCCGGTTTTATTCTCTCAATCTATATCATTGAGTTGTCTGGTCCTTTATCTTATTGCTGATGGCCAAAGCTTGCTATATGCCAATTGGCTGCCAGGTTTTCTACTACACAACAATGTCTACGCCTCAAAATGTCCTCCTGCCAGAACGAAACTAATCCCCGAGAAGAACAGAATAAAATGGCTAACCATATTTTAAATGGGAAGGACCATAGCCTCTTGATAATAAAGAACTCAAACCTTTGGTTGTGAGCAACCAATGAGGCTAAAAGGGGAGAGCTGGAAAACACACATTCTCAACTGGTGATAACAAATGTAAGATCATAAGATCATCAGAAATGGGAACAAAAATAGGCCATTTGGCTCCTCAGGCCTACTTTGCTATTTAATAAGGTAATGATGTGTCTTTAGTTTGAAAAGCTAGAGCTAGGTTGTTCAGGAGTGATGACAGGAAGCATTTCACACACAAAGGCTGTGGAAAGTCAGGAGAAAGTGAAATAAAAACCAAAACCAGACCATGATCTTATTGAATAGAGAGAAAAGCATTTTATAATATCTACAAATCTGTTACATTATTGGAAAACAAAATCTGTCTGTGATCTGCTCCTGGTATGAAATGGATGAATGAGGAGAAAGACGGAGTTAGATTGATGATACAATGGAACAGCAGCTGATGCTATGTCAGCTATCAGTAAATACAAACTTACTTGACTTCAATATTTCTAAAAAATATTGGGGTTTAGTTTGCCAGTGTTTTTGACTCTAACTGATAGATTTTTTTTTCAATACACAAACCTTATCACATTCTTAATAATGTTTCAATGCCATTCCCCGATATATTTGGTATCATATATTTCAGTTAACGTTTTCATGTGGCAAAATATGACCTCCTGAGGTTCACCTGACTTCATAATTGAATGGAAACCATTCCCCTGTCTCCAGCAGGAACGGAAAAAATGTTCCAGATTGATGTAAATATAAATTGAATAGCTCATGCAATAAGAAAATACTGGACGCATCAAATTCCCAAGGGTTTAAGAACATAATGGACGACTGATGGTACGTGTATCTTATCTTTAACAAAATCACGTTCAAAACTCCATGTGTTGTACATTTACACTGCTGTGACTTCGCTGTGAGTTTGCAAGCTATACAATCAGTTGTTGTTTTAATGTCTGTTTATGACTTAAAGTGGTTTTTTTGTTTTAAAAAATGATTCATAGACCTAGTAACATAGAAAATAGGAGCAGATTTCAGTCCTTAATGCTGCTCTGCTATTCATGTCATAATCCAACATAATACCCTGTTCCCATTTTTACCCCATAACCTCTGATCTCTTTAGATCTAGGAATTATATCTAACTCCTTTTTGAAAACATTCATTTTGGCCTCAACTGCTTTCTGAGGCAGGGAATTCTACAGGCTCACCACTCTCTAGGTGAAGAAATTTCTCCTCATCTCAGTCCTAAATGGCCTACTCTGTGTCCTTAAACTGTGGCCTTTGTTTGGGATTCCCTGGGCAACAGGAACTTTCTTCCTGCATTTACTCCTGTCCATTCCCTGGTGAGAGATTGATCATAAGGCCATCATCGTTGAGATGACATAGTGAATAGTAGTATGGAAAATCATGCAGTTAAGGCTTAACATGTTTAACAGTCAACACACAAGTTAATCTGCAGGTGACGTGTGTAGGACTGAATTATATGATTTTTGGCTAAAGGCGAGTAGAATCAAGTTTGATGGAACGATTTGTCCAGTGAGGCTGAGTGAGTTTTCTCAATGTTTTTAAGAAATTTCCTGCGTTAATTAGCATTTGAACCCTCAAGGGTGTATCCTGACTGATTTACATCTCATCTTACCACACCTGGAGTAACTGGCCAATGACCAAAGACCATCTGCGCCATCTTCCAAAGCACACACTGTACCTAGAGGAGTGCTGTCATCTGGATGCTGTCCTGCTTGGTCATGGAAGGAGTCAGGGGGGATGGTGAAGAAAGGGAGGCTATCTTCATCCTTCTCAGAGAGAGAGATCTGGAGTTCCTTATGGACCGGGTGATTTGGAGGAGATGGATTCTCTTCATGGACGACCAGCAGAGGAGGTTAGGCCATCAGACCTATCAGCGATCACTATCCAGATCAGTACTATCTCTAGGAGGAAGACTGAGCTGCAGTGCTGCAGAAGGTGAATGACATTCTCTGCTCCACGAGAGTAAGTTCCAGATTCTAATTTGCACTCAATGTAACTCTGCAGCCACATCCAGCTTCCACCAAGGTTCATGTCCTGTCAACTCCTGTGTTAAATGTGACACCTTCCCTCGCTCGCTAATGTTATCCCCATACACCTACGTCACTAACCCAGCATGCCCTCTGAGCTATGACCTCCCCTCTCTCGGAATAACTCAACACCTTTCCCCGCGCGCACCAGCCCTCACAGCCAAGCCATCCATTTGTGAATTACTCATTTGCTCCTTGCTGTCGTTGCATGGGAAGACAGCCCATAACAGGGTAAAACAAGGTTGGAAAGGTAGGAGGCACTCAATACCCATGCCCTCACCCTCTCTGAGGAAAAAGCACTTGCCATGCAGGAGAAGACCAAGACCACCCTTCCAGGGAATCGGAGATGTCTCGGTCCTGGGTAGGTAGCACTTGTCATTGCTTTGCAATGCTTACATAAACCAGTGCAATGCAGTGATCACCTCTACAGACCACAACGCATTCCGTCTCTTGTGTCTTACAGTGCACTCATTCTCCCAAGGACCAGTCCACTGAGCTATGGGGAGCAGGCAGGAATGTGGAGTTGGAGACCAGGATAAGATCAGCCATGATGATGTTAAATGGCAGAGTGGGTTGAATTGCCCACTCCCGTTCCTAATTCCTATGTTCCTATGAGACGAGAGTGTGGAGGTATTAGAGGGTCCCTTGTCAAGACTGCCTATGAGAAGCGTCAGCAGCACAGATGATGACATCTAGATAGGTTCTGTTAGCAGGCATGTGCCATGAAAGGGCAGATGGGCAAGGGAGAAGTGCCTTAGAGCATTGGCGTTCAGAGGGCTGCCAAAGACCAGGCACCTTCTCAGCTTCCAGTGAGGGAGGGCCCTGAGGCCTCAGCGATGAGAGAGTTTATCCAGCGGCACAGGTAGGAGCAGCAGGCAACCTCCAGAAGGCACTGACCCTCTGCAGAGAGAAGCTGGAGTGATACAATCAGTATCACAATGCACTACCTGCCAAAGATCAGGCTCTGCTGCAATGTAGCCAATCCTGCAACCATCTGTCTTCCTCCGTGGGCAGGTTGGCAGCTGCCATGGAGAGGTAAGTCCAGCACCCTCAGAGTCGCCAACAACTGCACTCCTGTGTCCCATGCATTTGTCCTGAGGACCAAAGGCAGGGAGAGAGTGAGATGGTGAACATTGAGCCTAGTCCCAGAGCCCCCTGCTCACAGGCGGACGGGACAATGTCATGAGGGATCCAGCCAGAGGAGGAGATACAAACAGGCCCCTCCACACTCTCCACTTGGGACTGCAGAGGTGGCTAGGCTGTCCACTTCCACCCTATCTGCAACCACCATCCCCCCCACCCACATGACCATTGGAAGTTCTAGCCCAGGTGGGTCAACTTGGCGCTAGCAAGACGAGCCTCAGTGTGCCCGACCAAACCTCCAGTGCTAAGGCGGGTCCAGTACAGAGCAAGCTCCCTCCACCCCGTTGCAGAGCAGGGCAGCTCAGTGTGTGGGCACAGCAGAATAGAGAGGAATGGTATATGGGGAACAATGGCTCACAATGTTATGTAAACAGTTTGTTTTCCATTGAATGTCACTTAAACAAGTTCTAAATTTCATAAACCTTTGTTTTTCACCCTAACCCTCACATTAACTCTAACCCTTACCCTTGTTTTTCATGTAATTGTCCTTGTCTCTGTGTAAGGATAAGTCATGCTGTAGCGCCCCCTCCCTGGACAGAATGGTTGGGGGTGTGCATTGAGCACCAAATCGATCATATGGAAACAGGGGAAAAAGTGACATTGGCTTTCGCCAAGACCTATGCCCCCACTTTCAACATTACCCACTGTTCAGCTGGCTGTGTGCACAGGAGTGAATACCTGAGGGAGTTGACAGGATAGTGAGACACACTGAGGGTCAATGCTGCCCTATCCTAACACCTTCATCTGCTGCAAGAAAAATGCATTCTGTGTGCCACAGTGTTCAAACCAATTGATTCTTCCAGCTCTGACATTCAATCCTGACCTATTGCCATCCAGAAAACATTTTCTGTTTACCTATTGATACAGATACCTCACAGAGAATCTAATTAATTCAGTCTGTACCCAACTCCATAAATCCCAATCCCATTCCCCATTAGATATTTTTCCAGTTACTCTTTTGAAGGATGAATCGAGCCAATCACAGTTGCTTTGCTAAGGCTCTGCTCTGAAAATACCACTTTCTCCTTACTGGGGAGAAAATTTTTGCTGTTTAGCCAACCACAGACTGACTTGGACAATTAATCATTTTAGCAATGTTTAAAAGGAACCGCTATTATCACATAACAGTAAAACATCGGATTCTCTTTAACAACTACTTGTGCAAGGGCTTAAATTAATCTCAAGAGTTCAAGTGCATGACTTATCTAAAGCTATACATGTTCAAAAATGCATGGACGTTACAATATAAATAGCTTGCTTGAGTCACAGAATCATAAGCCTGTTTTTTTTTGTCAGTTGTGATAGCGAGAGGGAATTGGTTTCATTTATTTTGTACCATTGCAATGAATTAGTCACGCTGTCAGCTCATTGTCCTGATTAGAAGCACGCATCTTGAGTTTTTCCATCTCATTGTTCTCTTCAGCAATGCCATGTATTATACTTTTTTAACCCTGTGAGTGCAATAGGAATCCTTAGACCCTTACAAGCAGACACTTTACCAGCTAACCTCTGATCCCTTTTCCTCAGCATTGAGGAATAAAACCAATTATTGCTGGCCAAGCTCAGCAGGTCTGGCAGCATCTGTGAAGAAAAAAAGTCAGAGTTAGCATTCCGGGTCTAGTTACCCTCCCTCAGAACTGTTCTGAGGAAGAGTCACCGGACCCAAAATGTTAACTCTGATTATTTTCTTCAGAGATACTGCCAGACCTGCTGAGCTTTTCCAGCAATTTCTGTTTTTGTTCCTGATTTACAGCATCTGCAGTTCTTTCGGTTTCCCTCAGTGTTAAGTTCTGATTCGAGTGTTGGTTTCAAACTAGGAGAAAGGAAGTGGACCTACTGTCTGGTTCTCACTGTGGACTCTGCATAGATCCCAGATCTGTTGAATGAGGATGATGATCGTACCTAACTTTTAAAAGTTTGTTCATGGGATGTGGGCAATGACAGCATTTATTGTCTTTCCCTAATTGGCCAGGGTGCATGAAGAATCAAACAGATTGCTGTGGAATTGATGTCACATACTGCCCAAACTAGGAAAGGAAGGCAGATTTCCTTCCTTAATAGACATTAGTGAACCAGGTGGGTTTTTAACAACAATCGATAATGGTTACCATTAGATTTGGTTTTTAATCCAGATTTTTGTTGATTTCAAATATCACCATTTGCCACAGCGAGATTTGAACCTAAGTCCTCAGAACGTCAGACAAACTGGTAAGGTCACAGTTGAACTATGGAATGCTTATTTCTAACAAAATCACTGCACCAAGAATAATTCACAATATCTGAGATAGGTTAAGATGTGATAACACATACATCACAGTCTTTATGAAATAAAATTGTTCATTGTTATTTTATCCAATTTACAGAGTGTTCATTATAACAGTTTTCACTATTTTGCTTCCCCATAGAAAGGCTTCTGAACTCTTGCAACTTTAAGCTAAGGACTTCACACACATTTGCAAGGAACCCATTACCTCAGTTTTTTCTGGTTCCCAGTTAGCTCAGTATTCTTCTGTTGTAATGGTTAAAACTTCTCTCCCACTTTTGGAGCCCCTCTTACTATTTGTGGCCTGTGAAGAACACATATTTTTATTTTTGCTTATTCTTGCATTGTGGACTAAAGTAGGAAAAAAGATACTGCTTTAAACCAAAGAAACTGCAAGGAAAAGTTGTACTTTTAAAACACATAACTGGAGCTCATTGGGAGCTGTATTTACATTGTTGCTTTGTTTAAATAATGGAGGAAGATATTGGAGACTCCTTGACATCATTGGTGTGTGTTCAGGGCAGTTTTGTCCGCAGATGGTTTTTGATTGGTTTTATAGTCAAGATCAGTTATGTGAGTCAGCAGTCATCAGCATAACAAGAACTCCTGAACAAAACAGGACAAAAACCCTGAAGACCCCAAGCCCTAAAAAAGGCAGCATCTTTTTTTCTCTCTCTCTCTTTCTCTCTCTCTCTCTCCTTCCAGAGAAATAACAAAATATGGGAAGATAGCTAGCAAATCTCTCTCAATTACTTACTTGTAAGCTGCAAAATGTAACTGGTGCTTGAGAGATGGAACAACTAGTGTGCGAATTTACCTGTGTCTGCAGTAAAGAACTGAAAGGACTTGGAAAGAAGAAAGTTTGAGAACAGAGGACTCAGAAGAAGTAAAAGGACACTAGTTAAATCCTGTGGACTAGTGCTATTGAACTGGGTTCCCCGAGCATTTTTTTCTCCAATCATAACATACAAACAATGAACTAGAGTAGGCCTATCAGCCCTTTGAATCAGCTCTCCCATTCAATAAGATTAAGGCTGATTTGATTTTAACCTCAACTCTACATTCCTGCATGTCCCTGATAGTATTTCACCCTCTTGCTAATGAAAAATCTATCTACCTCTGTCTTAAAAATTTTACAAAAAATTCCGTGTTCACTGCCTTTGAAGAAGGGATTTCTAAAAACTTACAGCACTCTGACGGAAAGAAAAAGCTTCTTCATTTCTGTTTTGAATGGGAGATGCCTCATTTTCAAACTATGACCTCCCCAGTTTCAGATTCTCCCACAAGAGGAAACATCCTTTCAACATCCACCCAAGTCAAATCTCCTCAGGATCACCTCTGACTGTTCTAAACTCCAGAGGATATTGGCCTAGCCTCTCTAGTCTTTCCACAAATGGCAATCTGCTCATTCCAAGTATTACTCCAGTAAACCTTTTCTGAAGTGTTTCCGACACGTTAACATTCATAACTATGATGACCAGTCCTGTACTGTATTCCAGATGAAATCTCACCAAAGCCCTGCATAACTGAAGCATAACCTCCTTATGCTTGCATTCAATCCCCCTCACAATAAATCAGAATGTTTTGTTAGCTTTTCTGATAACTTGCCGTACTTGCATACTAACATTTTGCAATTGATGCACTAGGACACCCAGAACTCTCTGCATCTTAGAACTCTGAAGCCACTTGGATAACATGCTCCTTTTCTATTCTTTCTGCTAAAATGGACAGTTTCACACTTTCCCACATTATCCTCCATTTACCAGGTCTTTTTCCATTCACTTAATCTATTAGATCCCTCTGTGGCCTCATGCCCCTGATGTAAATCACTTTCCTACATCTCTTTATGCCATGAGCAAATTTAGCTAACATACCCTCCATCTAAATCATTAATATAAAAAGTAAATAGTTGACCAGCACTGACAGCTATAACAACTATGTTTTCTTGTTTGTCTATCCTACCTAAATGTATGCGTAGATGTTTAAGGAGGGCTAGACCTATAAGTTGATAATAGATATTGCATTTTCATGAACAGATTTCTTTGTGATAAATAGCACTTTCTTGATCAGTACAGAAATCTGGTCAATGATTTCTATTAACCTGTGTCCACTAGACAGGAAAATTGAGGACTTTGAAAAATTTGAGTAAATCTTTAACTTTTGTGATGAAGAATGGGGATCGAATATTCCCTTCCCAGGTGGATTGTGATAAGTGCCTCTTCCCTTTATTTGGGTCCCCTCACCACTTTGTAACCCTTCTTCCCCCCCAGTTGGCAGCACCTCAATCCTCTTTACTGATCTCTCCCATCTTCTCAGCCTCTCTCCCACAATATAGCCTCACTTCCCTATCCCTTCAGCACTCCTGGTCCAGGAGTCTCTTTCCCCAGACTCCGACTCACCAGCTTCCCTTCCCTTCTTCACACACCCCACACCCATACCTGTGCCCTCCCTTCTCTAACTTCGTCTGGCTATTCTACCTACGGCCACTCATCATTTCACTGCTGCTCCAATCACAGGCTGCTTCTCTCCTGCACCTACTGCTTATAGGCTCATTGTGGACCTATCAAAGTAACTGCGAGTTGGTGAAGCATCTTCTGGTGTACTGTGTCCAGGTCCGGTCACCCTGTTACAGGAAGGATATATTAAGCTGGACAGGGTTCAGAAAAGATTTACCAGGCTGTTACCAGGACTGGAGGGTTTGAGTTATAAGGAACGGCTGGATAGACTGGGACATTTTTCACTGGAGCATAGGAGATTGAGGGGTGACCTTACAGAGGTTTATAAAATCATGAGAGGTATAGATAAGGTGAATGGTAGGTGTCTTTTCCCTAGAGTTGGGAATTTCAAGACAAAGGGGCACATTTTTAAGGTGAGCGAAAAAAAAAAATTAGAAAGACCTGAGCGGCAACATTTTTACACAGAGAGTGGTTTGTGTGTGGAATGAACTTCCAGAGGAAGTGATGGATGCTGGTACAGTTACAACATTTAAAAGACACTTAGGTATGAAAGGTTTAGAAGGATATGGGCCAAGCGCAGGCAGGTGAGACTAGTTTAATTTGGATTATGGTCGGCGTGGACTGATTGGACCAAAGGATCTGTTTCCGTGCTGTATGACTCCACGTATGATTGGACAAGCAGCTCCTCACAGAATCTGACCATTTCACTTAAGGTGGTGTTTGGTGTCAACTTTTCTCTGATTGATACCCCAATTTTCCTCTGAATTTTGGTGGATATCTGGTGAAATTCACCCCTACCCCTCCTAACAGCCTACCCCTGGGTATTTTGAGGGTTCATACAGATGTACACAGGTTGAACAATTTTCCATGAATACTTCTGTCCTCAGGAACTAGCATTTTTAAATCTGAAACTGGACTAAATGGAACTAATTTCAGAATATTTACATTTCTAAATGCATTTCAGTTTGGGTCACCGTCTCAAAGCTTGGGCATTCACATCATTCAACACAGTTCAGCAAAAAGTGTGTGTTGGAAAACTAACAGCCTGCAGTGTTCAGTGTCATTTTCATTGCAATTAAATTTTATGTCTGCTACATGATGTTTCATGTTCACTTTATAGTGCTGTGCTTAAAAATGATATAATGTTTGACAAACAGATTTTTTTCATGAACCTCAGTGTGCAAGACATTTCTAGATATAGACTTCCATTTCTCTAATGCCTTTCATATTGCCATTATGTCCTGATGTGGTTTGCAGCCAATAAAGTACATTCTTGAAGTGTAGTCACTGTTGTAATGTAGGAATAATTTATTAAGCCTGTTTTGAGCATATTTATCTTAACCAAATAAATGGGATCTTTAAGATATTTTCTAAAAAACCTGTTCTGCAATGTTATTATACAACTCCAGAGCAGAGAGGGCTTGAACCCATGCCTCCTAGCCCAGAGGCAGGGGCACTGCCACTGTGCTACAGGACCACCCCTCAATGGGCATATTAATTCTTTATACTGGAATGGGTTTCCAGTTAGATGTCATCTTAAAGCAGAATATCTTTGACACTTCAAAGTTCAAATTCCTTACTGTGTGCAAATCCAGCTGTATTGCAATAGTTGCTACAATTCAAGATACTTCATGGACTATGATGCCAACTGGGATATACTGAGGTTTTGAAAGGGAATGTACAAATTCAAGTTCTTTATTTGATTCACAGTAATATTTCCTTAATCTTTGTAGTAATTGTTTTGGATCTGATCTCCTTGTGGCTTGGCAAAGGGGCTATTTGCAATTCTAAAGTCACAGAATTTATGAAAAGAAAGAAGTCACCTTTACCCAGGACCTTTCACAGCACACCCCAAGATTCTTTACAATAGATTACCCCTTTTAACTTATCATAGCATCTAGATTTGCTACTGGCCCATCAAGCCTTCCTAAGAGCATCCAACTCACTCCCCCAAATCTAACCCTGTAACCCTGTATTGTCACGTGTTGTTAAGTAGAAAAACACAACAAGTAGTTTTGCCCAGCAAAATCCCACTAACAGTGAGTTTATCTGTTCTGATTTAAGGCATAAGTTTCCTTGATACTGGGAGAAAGCTGTAGCTTTATTTTGAAAACCAGCTTGGATTCTTTTAGATTCACAAGAACAAGCAAACAGGACTTTCACTTGAATCCAGCTAAAAGACAATGTAGCACTCCTCTAGTCATGCACTGCACTACAGTTGAGCCTAAGTCATGTGTTCAGATCTTTGGCATGGAGTTTGATTACAGAACTTCCTTTTTCAGAGATGGGAAGATTACTCCTATGCCACGCTTGAATAAGTAAGACAATTGGAATGTTAAAGCTTCTGCTTCATTGGATTATATGAAATTTAGTGTGACTGATTCAGCTACCTGAGAGAAATTCGCATGTTATGACTTTCTGATGCTGCAAATTGAATAGCAGTTTGTGCTAGTTGTTTTGTCTATGCTCAACTTCCCTGTTGTCCATGGGTACACTTGTATTCATAAATGATTGACAGGCATTGCATGGGATGGAGTGCCTTATAGAAGTCAGCAATAATATTATAGTTTAATTGATAACGTTCAATGGGAAATTTTATCGCTTCATTGAACTTCAGTTAGTTTGATTGGACCACAA